ACTCGAAAAAAGTGCTCGTATATGTTTTCATTTGCCGAGAGATTATTTTCAAAATATATTTATAATAAAAATATGCAAGTCTTGGTGAGGAAAAATGTACTCCTAATAAATTATTAAAGTACTTAAAAAAATAGAAACAAATTTTATTTATTTAAAAAAAATCTCTCGCAAAGGCAGGTTCCTCTTTCTTCTTGAATCAATTATAATTATTTCGGGCAATAATGCGCCAAAGTAAAATCTGCCAAGTTTATCTGCCATCTTTTTACATATTTCTTCGTCTTTATAAATTTTTTCTATATTTATTTCTTTGGGTCTCCACACAACAAAATAAACTTGTGAAATACCCGTAACAAGCATTTGTCCCTAGACTTGAAAGTAGTAATCATGATTTTTTTTTAGTTTCAATTCTCTGTCTGTCAATGTACAAAACTTGATTATTTTTTTCTAACCGCTTCTTCGGGAGACAAATCTTGCGATTTTGAAGGGCATTAAATTTCGACTAATGCACTCCTTTCCTCTAGAACCCTGTCTGGACTAGCAGGCAAGTAAGGAAATTGTTTTAATAATAATAATAATAATACTTTATTTCAACGCCAAAATAGCTTTAAGTACATGGATTTACAAAGACGGAGGATACATAGAGTAAAAAATACACACACCTATAATTACCTATTATATAAGAAGAGGAATTCGTAATTTATGTTTAAAAGAGTTGAATGAAGCATAACAAAAGAAATCAATTTCATTGTAATACAAGTTAGAAACATTCAAAATTTCATGTAAAGGTGAAGCTTTAACATAATTAGTTACGGCAAAATCAATATAAAATAGAGACTTAATCCTAGTCAGATGTTGGGGCACTCTAAATTTGATCATGTTAAGTAGATCAGGCACATCAATAAGGTTATTAAGCAGTTTATAAATGAAGCAAATACTAAAATAAGTTTTCCTAGTACAAAAGGTAGACAAATGAAGGTAAGACAGCATAAGCTCTAGAGAGCAATTTATATTTGAAGGTAATCTAAACTTGACAAAATGTAAAAATTTTTTTAATATCGAATCAATACGCTCCAGGTGAGTTTTGTAATGTGGAGCCCAAATTATACATCCATAGTCAATAATGGGTACGACTAAAGTTTTATATAAATGAACAATAGTTGTAAAATCAAGGAAGTCTCTTGAATACCTTTTGATGCATCCCAGTACCTTACTTGCTTTGTTAATAACATGATCAATATGAAAAGGGAAATTCAGCTGACTGTCAAGAAATATACCGAGATCCTTAACACAGGGCACAGATTTTAAAACAGTATTGTTAATTAAGTAACGAGGAATCGATTTATTTTTTTTCCGAGTAAAGCATATACTGTAACATTTTTCCAAGTTTAAATTCATGCTATTATCAACACACCAACGATATAAACTGTTAAGATCTGCTTGCATTAATTCAGTCACTGTTACTATTAATATTAAAAAAAATTTTCAAGTCGTCAGCAAATAAACTGTAATTACATTTAAAATTCTTTCCAACATCATTGATAAATAAACAGAACAGAAATGGTCCCAAAATAGATCCTTGAGGAACCCCCGAAGGCACACATCGTCTGTCAGATAAGATACTTTTAATTTTAACCTGCTGAGCTCTACTATCCAGATAACTACCAAACCATTTAAGGAGAGGGTCGAAGACTCCGTAAGCAGCTAATTTTTGTACTAAAATATAATGATTGACTTTGTCAAATGCCTTACAAAAATCACTATAGACGGCGTGAACGTCCAGACCATTACCCATGGATTCAAGAATAGAATTTACATAATGAAATAGATTAGTGATTACAGAGCGCTTTGGAAAGAACCCATGCTGACATGGAGAAATTACAGATTTAAACAAAGGAAATAGTTTCTCTAACACAATAGATTCAAACAGTTTACTTATAGTAGATAACAACGAAATTGGACGGTAATTATTGATACGATTTCTAGCACCATTTTTGTATACTGGGACTACAAACGCGTGTTTCCATGTATCAGGGAAGACTCCTGATGAAAGAGAAAGATTAAATAAAATTTGCAAAGGCAAGACAAGAGCTTCATGACACATTTTTAAAAATTTAGGTGGCAGTCCATCAGGCCCGGATCCCTTATTGACGTCTAACTTATTAAGAGCATTTTCAATTTCAACAAAACTAACAGAAATAGATCCAACATTAACAGACTTATCAGGTAGCAAAGTACATTTCACAAAATTATTGAAATCAAATGCAGTAAAGAAGTATTCATTAAATGCTTCACAAATGGTTTTATCATCACTTAAAATATGCAAGTCCTGAGATAACATAGGCGAAGGTGTATAATTAAGTTTAGATTTTTTGCTAACAAATTTCCAAAAATTTTTGGGATTAGACTTAAGATCATTTTCAATGCCAGCTAAATATATACTATGAGCAATCTTAATTTCAGATTTATAACGTTTTCTAAGAGCTTCAAAAGTTAGGAGATCACAATTACGATTATACATTTTAAAACGTTTATGCACTTTTTTTTTTTCCTTATGAGAAAAATCAAAGATTTCGAGAACCATGGAGGGAACAAATTATTTACAAATTTCCTTTTAAAGGGAACAAACAAATGACAAGCTTCATATATGTACATATAAAAAGTTTCAACAGCTACATTAACATCAATACTAGTAAGGACTTGATTCCAGTCAATGGACATCAAAAAATTTAAAACTCTATTGTAACTAACATTATTGAAATCATAGAAATATTCAAAATAATAATTATAGTCACATGCAAGAAAATTATCAATAATAACAATAAAAGTAGGGTGACTCGGATCAGGCCTAATTAAAGGATTACATAATTGCAACTCAATAGTTGATACATTATAATAGTATATTAAAGAACGAGTTTCATAAGGCAAATATTGAGGCACGAATCCAAGTTTATAGAACGAGCGGCGAAGCCGCGAGTTATATAAAGGATGAGTGCCTCAATGGCCTTATGAACGAGTTATTTATACTATTTTTTCTACCGCACACGTTTTTTCTCAAAATTTAATTAAAATTTGCACTTTTTTTAATCTGGGGACTTTTGTCGTGGTTGGTGATGGGTTGGTCTGACACTAACCACGAAATATTTGAGGTTCGAATTTTCACAACAACAATTGTAATTCGAATCAATTCGAGTTTTCGTAATTTAAAATTGGTTAAAATGTCTTGCGAAGAAGTTACGCGTCCGGAAACGTGGGAAATTTTAAGTTTAGATTTGCCAATGACATTCACCTGACATTTCTCGTCATTGCTACCAATCTTACCGATCTAAATTACACCAGATCTATTAAAGAACGCCTTTCCGCAATTAACGAACTGCTGTGACGTCATTTTCGTGCGTTAATAGCTCTATTAGAAAACCAAAAAACGTGGGCGGTAGAAAAAAAAATTTTTCGATATTTTAATTTTTCAGTTTTTAAAGTTTTAGGTTTTTATATCTCGACTTTTCGGTTTTTCAGTTAGATGATTTTTCAATTTGTCGAATTTTTAAATTTTAGATTTTTTGTTCTGGATCATTCAATTTTATGAGTTTTCAGGCTTAGATTTCTTTGTAGTTCAATTCTTGAATTTTTAAAATTTTTGTTTTTTAAATTTTCCTATTTATCAACTTACAGGGATTTCAAGGTTTTGATTTTTGAATGTTCAATTTCTCGATTTTTTTGAATTTTTAGTTTTTGATACGATTTTTTTTTCAAAAATTTTCAGTTTTTCAATTTATTAACTTTACGATATTTCAGTTTTACGATTTTTAAATTTTTTTATTTTTCAGTTTTCAATTTTTGACGTTCCTAAATTTTTCGATTTTTCAATTTTTCGATTAACTGATTTTTTGATTTTCCCATTTCTCTGTTTCTTGTTTTTTCGATTCTTTCTTCAACTGTGATTTTTCAATTTTTCGATTTCTGGATTTTTCAATGTTTCAGTTTTGGATTTTTTCACTTTCCATTTTTCAGTTTTTCAGTATTTCAGTTCTGGGATTTTGCAATGTTTCGGTTCTACAATTTTTCCATTTTTTGATGTTTCGATTTCTCGGTTTTTCAATTTTTCGATAGGTATTTTCATTTTTCAATTTTTAAGTTCTAGATTTTCCGTTAATTTTTTTGTTTTACTTGATGTTTTGATTTCTCGATTATTCGATTTTTCAAGTTCTCGGTTTAGATTTTTGGGTTTTCCAATTCTTCGATTTTTAAATTGCTTAATTTTCAGATTGTTCAATTTCTCGATTTATAGATTTTTAAATTTTTCGGTTTACCGATTTTTTTCATTAAAAATGTTTCAATTTCTCAATTATTAAATTTTTGATTTTTCAATTTTGGTGTAATTTGAAAACGGTATTAATAATAATACATTTAGGGGAATAAACTAATAGACGGGCTTGATAAGCCTTGTTTGCTCTACAGTGTTCTAAATAATATAATAATTATCTCGAATATTAAAATTAATATGTCAAAAGAATACGAAAAATGATTATTCTGTGCTGAAGGTATGTTGTGGGCCGCTGTCATAAATTATCATTATTCTGCATTATCGTCTCTCGTCTAGCGTTCCCCCTTAAGAAACACTAGCCCCGCCCACCCTCCTCTATTTTCTTAGAGGATATGTAATTTTCCACAGTCAGTCTAATTATTTGCCGGTTCAAAAACTGATGACGTCATCTCTGCAATTAATAATAATAAATTCACCCATATTATCACTTTAACGTAAAAAAAAATCTACAATAAGTTTTATTCAGAGTAATTTATTGTTGAGAAATGCTCAAACACACAACATGTTTTTGTGTGTTAGCAGGTGTACAAATGTAATAGTCCTCGTGAAATATTTAACCAAAAATACGATGCCATCACCAAATTACTGATTTTTTAAAACAGCAAGAAGAGAATAAGAGCGCCTTAAAATCTAAAAAATAAACACTTACTCTATTAGATTACGGATTATATAAAAAAAATCACATTTTTACCGTGGTAAATGTGGTCACAGATAAATCAAGAATCTTCCCAGCTGTCACAACAATGGGTCGTTGGGAACGTTCCAGCAACAAAATTAAATCCTTTTTGGACTCAGCATCATAGTCGTACCAATTCCCAATATAATCTGCATTCGTTAGACTATCACTCTATAACAATTAACTTTAAAATCAGTTTTTATAACAAAATTGTACAAACCTCTTCATACAGTACCGTCCCATAGTAACAATAGAAATATATTTGAACCAGAAGGACAATTAAGTAGCCCACCAAAATGGAAAAATTTGGGGTCGTCGGTGACATCTAAAACCAAGCAATTAACACGAAATTCAATATCCAAACAAGTTACTCACTTTTCCTAACTGGAAACAACAGAAACCCACAACTAAAACACTTCCTGCAAACTGGCTAAAAACAACACTTGAAAAGCAACTTTCGAACTCTTTGATGAAACTAAAAATGATCTATATACGAAATCAGTTTTTTGATTTTACTGCCATAGTTACCTTAGAATTATATTGTGATGATTAATACAGTGTTTGATGTTGCGTCTGGTCACAAAAATCTTCAGTGATTCGGAATCTGTAGTGCATTGATCAAGATGTTTTAAATTATGTTTTAAAACTTGAATATGTCCAGACGCTAAACCACAAAGTCCAGCAAGTAGAGGGTCAATAGCGGCACCAGCAATGGACGCGTACGCAACACCTGTTAACTAAATTTGCAAACCTCTCTCAGCTCCTATTTTAAATTCACCCAAAGTAAGTAAAACGAACACGAAAATATACACCATCGTGTTTTCCATCAAGTTATAAGGAAGCCACACATCCACCGACAGTTGTCCATTTTGTAGAAGAAAAGGTTTCACCGCCCAGCTTACATTACCAGCTATAATGGAACCAAGAAACACTTTAGTATTTCTTTGACACGTGTGGACCCACTTTTCCAAAATTTTTTCGTTGTCCCCTTTTACCTCAAATAAGGGATCTTCCAAATAATGAATACACTTTTTAATCCGACGTCCATTCAAAATAAAAGGCATTAATTTGGCAATTTGGCACGCTAATTGGGCCACCTGAAAAGCGTTCTCACCAAACCTCATCTGGTCGATTTCTTCGCCAAAAATAAAATTTAGACTTCCTAACACCGGTACGGGATATGCAAATGCAAAATATAATAACAAGGACCGTAACCATGATATTCTTGTAGGTTTTTCAGGAGGGTATAAACCAAACGCTCTCATTATGTGTATGTTAATACTGAAACTCTGCCAAATGATGCTCATTTTAACTAGACCGCAACGTGGATACAAATGAGCAGCGGTGTTCAGTTTTTGTGTATTTAAAGGTCGATAAGATGGCACAAAGGAATCACTAATCCCTTTAATCAAGTAAGGGTCAAATTAAAATTACATGAAAAGTGATAAATAAATTATGATCATCACGAAAGCCTGCAAGTGAGCAACTTTTTGTAGTCGTCGCTTTAATATAAAATTCTTTGTGTGTCAGTAAAGCTTAAAAATTGTACGTTAGAATTGAATTAATTAAAAATAATTGTAGTATGGAATTTTCTTAAGAAATGTTCTGTGTTTTGATGTGAACTATACACAAAATTTTCCAATTCTTCATGGTATTATATATTGTTGTAACTGAGACTTCTTAAAAATTGATGGTAAGTGTTGGCGAAATTTGTTCCCCATTTTATAGTTTGGCATGAAATTTTTAATGTTGCTGTTCCTTAACTTAAAGTAAAATTCAATTATCGTCGTCAATATCCTTCGTGATTTAATCAGGATATTAAGTCTGACTGCCCAAATCCTTTTTGTTCCATGAATAAAAATATATAAATTGTAAAAACACATCTACTTCTGGTCCGGATGGTATCTTAAGCTTTATACAGAAGGACTCTGCATATATTTTTGTGGTTCCCCTGCTTAAAATATTTAATCTTGTTCTCATAAATAGTTAGATACCAGAACTATAGAAAAAATCATGCATCTACACTGTTTCAAAATTATTGTCAATTTTTCCCTGTAAATGGGTGTATAAATACCTGTTGGAAATAAAGTATTATTTTTGATAAATTGTCTTAGATTTGTTAATTTATGATTTGGTCGTCCTTGTTAATTCGTAATTTCTTCGTTTTTTTATCAATTTATTTGTAAATATTTTTGTAATAATTTATATGTTCGGTTATAAATTAATTCAGAACTTTTTTACACAAATTTGTTAATAAATTTGCTTGTAAATAATTTTATTAATATAATAATATAATTATAAGTGTACTAAGAAATAACTTGTTGAGTTTACCCACGCCGATTTTATTCCCGAACAACGTAACAATATCATAGACAGAACGGAATATGGATGATTAAAATACGAAATGTAAATTAATTCAAAAAAACAAGCTGGACGAGAATCCTAAAAAATTAGAGTACATTATTATTACATTATCCACCTGTTCCGAAAAATTATAACATTTGATTTTGCGAATTTTATTTTTTTATGATAACCTTTACAAGTTAAAATGAAGATATGTGTATAATCTTCAAGTGTTTGGTCTCTCAGCAATAACTTGAAGTGTTTAATTTTATACATCGGAAGAATGTCATGTGGAAATTAGTTTGATTTGAATGAGTTTGTCATCTCAAAAAACAGAGGATTAAGATTATTAATTACGCCACATTCGAACAAAATTTTGTAAATACTATTACTAAAATTCTTATTGAATCATTATTAAATAAAAACGTGCGTGTCTATTCTCACTAAACCTGAAAAATCGAAAACTGAAATCTTGAAAAATTGGGAAAATTGAACAATCAAGAAATAGAAACATCGAATTCTCGATAAATCCAGAAAATGATCGAGAACGAAGATTTAAATTGGCGAAAACTTGAAGAATTGGAAAATTCAAAGTCTAGTGATCGAAACATCAAAAAATCGACAAAGTGAATAATTTAAATTTAAAAATTCGAAAAATTCAGAAAACTAGAAATGAAATTGAAATGTTGAAAAACTGAGAAGTCGAAAACTTAAAAAATATTGAAAAATCCGAAATGTTGAGAAATGGAATAATGAAGTATTAAAAAATAAAATAAATAGCTAAAGCGAAACATCAAAAAATCGGAAAATCGAAAAATGTAAAAATTTAAAAATAGAAAATTTGAAAAATCAAAAAGTTTAAAACCCAAAAAACTGAAAAATCGAAAAATCAAACATTTTTAAAATCGAAAAATTGAAGAATCCAGAAATTTAAAACCGATAAATCGAAATACCTAAAGATTGAGAAGCCGAAACATCAAAAATTGAGAATTTTAAAATTTAAAAATTCGAAAAATTGAAAAATAATAATCTTCAGAATACCAAAATCCTCAAATCGTCATAACAGTGAAATTCTCCAATCCTTAGAACAGCGAAATCTTCAATTCCTCAGAACTCCAAAATCCTCAAATCGTCAGAACACCAAAAAAATCGAAGAACTGAAAAATGCGGAAATCAAAAAATGTGTTCAAAAAAGCAAAAAATTAAAATGTCGAAAAACTGAAGAATCAAAAACTGTAAAATCCAGAAATCAAAGCAATAAAAAATCGAAAAACTGAATGAAAAAATCGAAACGAAAAATCAAAATTTTAAAAAACCCCAAAGAGAAATTTAGAAAAATTGATAAATCGAATAATTGGAAAACTGCAAAATCGAAGAAAAATTGAAGAATCGAAGAATTCAAAGATCCAGTGGAAAAGTCGAAAAATAAAAGTTTTCAATATCCAAAAACCTGGAAAAAAGAAAAATTGAAGAATTTAAAAACTGAAAAATCAAGAAATTGAAACGTCGGGCAATCGAAACATCGAAAGTTGAGACATCAAGAAACCGGAAAATCAAATCGAAAAATCTAAAGCTCAAAAAATCGAAAAGTCAAAGCACCAATTAATCGGAAAATCGAAAATTTAGAAACTCCAAAAATTGGAAAATTTAATTATCGAAAATTTGAAGAATCCAAAGATCAAGAAATCGTAAATGAAAGTGTTGGAAAATTGAGAAATCGAAAAATTGAAAAATCAAAAAGGTAAGAAGTCGAAAAATCGAAACGAGAATTTGAAACACTGAAAAATACCAAAACAGAAATATCGAAAAACTGATAGTTATTTCGATAAAACTGAAGCTGAAAAAACAATTAACGAGGAATCGAACAATAGAAAAATTGTACCTAACATTAGAATGTCGATAAATCGAGAAATACAAGAATTTTAAAAATTGAAAATTTTTAACATCGGAGAAACTAAGATTTCAAAAATCGAAAAATTGAAGGACCGAAATATCGAAATCTGAAAAGTTTAAAATCCGAACATCAAGCAAAATTGAAAAAACTAAAAAAATAAATCGAAACTTTGGAAAATCGAAAAGAGAGATGTCGAGAAATCGAAATTAAAGTAATAAAAATAAAAAATAGCTAAATCGAAACATCAAAAGGAATCAAAAGGAATCAACACATCAAAAGATCGAAAAATTGGAAAATCGAAAAGTCGACAAGTGGAAAGCACAAAAACCGAGAAATCGAAATGCCATAAAATCGAAAATAGAAAAAATAAATATTGAAAAATTGAAAAATCAAAAATTTATAAACAAAAAAATTAAATATCGTAAAATCAAAGATTTTAAATGTCGTAAAATTGAAAACTGAACAGTCTAAATCTCACAAATCAAAAAAAAAATTAAAATTAATATTTAAAAATACGAAAAATTTAAAGATACAAAAATCTAAAAACTGAAAAATCGAAAAGGTAAATAATGGGGACGTCGAAAACTTGGAACAAAAAAACGAACAATTTAAGAATCGAAATGTTGAAAAATCCGAAAATTGAAATGTGAACAAAAAAAATGTGAAATAAATCGAAAACTCGAAAAACTGAAAAATTGAAGAAAAATTGATGCAAAAACCGAAAAGCTGAAAATTGGAAAATTTGAGGAATTGAAAAATTGAAATATAGAGAAATCGGGACGTCGAGCAATCTAATATGGAAAAGCCTAGCAAATCGATTTGTTCATAAAATAGGAATTGATTTTTTTGTCCCAAGAAAACTTTTTCCTGTCGTGTTACACACATGATTTTTTCTACGAGTGCTTGAATAATTTCCGAAACTCAAAAATCACTTGCCGAGAAATAGAAGCGCTGAACCAGTTATTTTGATTTTGATTTTTTTTTTCCAAAAATCTGGATATTTAGATTAAAATTCAACACTGATTCATAAATCGCATGAGTAGGAATATCTTATTTTATAGAATTTAAATAACATTTTTATTATTGTAAATTTTTGAGATGACGTCAACCTAATTTTGGGTACCGTCCAGTAGTTTTGGACATTATCTGTATAATAAAAATCAGGAGAGACGGTAGATAGACAGACAATCAGATGCAAACGGGGACCTATTTTTTCATATTCTAGGAGTCATGAAACGTCGAGAAAACATAGAAGTAGCCAGTTGTCCAATGGACTCGATTACAATTTAAATTACGCTCAGGAATTGAAAAAATGCTTTCGAGAAATAAATAAGTCTAAAAATAACAAGGTCATAAAACTACAGAAAAACAAGAGATTTTTCCTATAAAAAAATTGATGGCAAGTTATTTCGACAAAACTGAAACTGAAAAAACGAAATCCCTAGAAATCTAACAAAGAAAATTGTGGCATCGGAATATAAATAATAATTGAAGAAATCAAAAAATTTTAAAAATAGGAAAACTTAAAAATCGAAAAACTAAAAATCGAAGAAACAAAGGTTTTAAAAATTGGAAACTTGAATAACCGAAATCTGAAAAGTTAAAAATTGGAAAATCAAAAAATAACTAAAGTCAACAAATTGAAAAATCCAAAAATTTAAAACTTACCAAAATTGAAATTTTGAACAATTGAAAAATCGAAACCTTGAAAAATAGAGAATTGAAAAAAATCGGAAAAATGAGATGTAGAGAAATCGATAAAAAATAGATAAATCGAAAGATCATAAGTTCGTACATTCGAAAAACTGAAAAATCCAAGAAAGTAAAAATTTTAAAAATGGAAAATCTGAAAAACTGAGAAAATGAAAAATCCCAAAACTGATATCTCGAAAATTTGGGAAATCGATAAATTGAAGACCCGAAAAGAAGAAGAAACAGAAAACCTAAATGTCGGAAAATCCAAACATTAATAAATCGAAACATCAAAAGATCGAAAAATCGAAACATCGAAATCTCGATAGATCCAGAAATCGTAAAATTGCAAAATTGAAAAATCGAATAATTAAGAAACCGAAAAATTGAAAAATCGGAAAATCAAAAATTTTACAAGTGGTAAAATTTGAAAAACTGAATCTAGGAAAAATTTAAACAAAAAAACGAAAAATTTCAGAACTGAAATGTTGAAAATTCGAAAACTGAAATGTTGACAAATGGAACACTGAAAAGTTGAAGAGAAATGGTTGCAAAAATCAAAAACCTGAAAAATCGAAAAATTGAAAAATTGAAGAAAAATTGATGCAAAAACCGAAAACCTGAAAAATCGAAAATTGGAAAATTTGAGGAAATGAAAAATTGAAATATCGAGAAATCAGGACGTCGAGCAATCTAATATGGAAAAGCCGAGTAAATCAGCTATTTGTTCATAAAATAGGAAATGATTTTTTTGTCCCAAGAAAACTTTTTCCTGTCGTGTTACACACATGATTTTTTCTACGAGTGCTTGAATAATTTCCGAAACTCAAAAATCTATATCTATAAATCAAAAAACTGAAAAATCTAGGAAAAATTGAAGAATCGCAAACCTGAAGAAAGATCGAGAACTCAATCGAAAAGTGGAAAAATCGAAAATTTTAAAAATAGAACAACTGAAAAACCAAAAACTTGAAAAATTGAAAAATTGAATAATTCAAAATCGGGCAATCGAAACATCGAAAGTCGAGACATCGAGAAATGGGAAAATCATAAAACCCAAAAATCTAAAAGTCAAAAAGTTGAAAAATCGAAAAGTCAAAACACCGATTAATCGGAAAATCGAAAATTTAAAAACGCCAACAATTGAATAATTCAAATATCTAAAAACTGAAGAATCCAAAAGTCGAGAAATCGTAAACGGAAATGTCGGAAAATTGGGAAATCGAAAATTTAAAAAAGTCGATAAATCGAAGAATCAGATAACTGAAAAATCTTTGCTACGGAAGTTCAGGCAAGTTTCTGTTAGCGTTTTAAAAATTAGACAGTGATTAATTTTATAGAGTTTGTTTCATCTAATGAAAAAAGGGGGTAGGTATACGTTTTTCAAATTTCAATCAATTGGTTGCCCTGAAATTTTGTGAATGCTTTAAAGTTATCGCAAAGTACTAAATCCCTAATCAAAATTTACCGGTTTGCCCAAAACTTAATGACGTGTATATTATTATCGGTGTACATGCTTAACTTCGATTGTTTATGTGTATACATTCAAAGAATGTCACGCAGAAATTTGTTTAATTTGAGTAAATTGTCTCCCCAAAACAGAAAACTAAAATTATTAATTAAGCCACAATGGAACAAAATGGGTAATAGTAGTCTGAAGCTCAAGTGTTTATTTATGTTTATACATCGAAAGAATGTCACGTAGAAATTACTTTGATTTGAATGAATTTGTCTTCTCAAAACAGGACTAAAATTACCAATTAAACCCAAATCGAACGATATGTTACGAATGTTATAATTTTTCTACAATTAGGAGTCATTTATTCTTGAGAAATGTTGAAAAACACAATTATTTATTTATTCACAATAACTCAATTTGCTACATTTATTACATTTTTTTTTTTGTGTTAGCAGGTACACAAATGTACTGGAACTGTTATGACAAACTATAGTTCTAATAAAGTATTTACACAAATATACGATGAAATCACCTAACTACTGATTTTTTAAGACAGCAAGAAGAGAATAAGAGCGCCTTAAAATCTAAAAAAAAAAATACATATTATATTACTATATATGTAAAAAAAATCACAAGTGGGTTTACCGTCGTAAATGTGGTCACAGATAAATCTAGAATTTTCCCAGCTGTCACAACAATGGGTCTTTGAGAACGTTCCATCAACAAAATTAAATCCCTTTTAGACTCAGCATCATAGTCGTACCAATTCCCCATATAAACTGCATTAATTATACTATTACTCTGTAATACTCAAATTAACTTTAAAATCAGTTTTTATAATAAAATTGTACAAACCTCTTCGTACAATATCGTCCCATAGTAACAATAAAAATATATTTGAACCAGAAGGATAGTTAAATAGCTGACCATAATGAAAAAATTTAGAGTCATCGGTGGTATCTAAAACCAAGTGATTAACAACTCGAAATTCAATATCCAAACAAGAAACTCACTTTGCCTAACTGGAGGCAACAGAAACACACAACAACGACACTTCCTGCAAATTGACTAAAAACAATACTTGAAAAGCAACATTCGTACTCTTTGACGAAACTGGAAACTTTCTATATTACACGAAATCTATTTTTATTTTTGTTCGATACTTACTTCAAAATTATATTGTGATGATTAATACAGTCTTTGACATTACGTCTCGTGATAAATATTTTCAGTGATTCGGAATCTGCAGTGCACTGGTTAAGATATTGTAAATTATTTTTCAAAACTTGGATATGCCCAGACGCTAATCCACAAAGTCCACCAATCAGAGGGTCAATGGCGGCACTAGCAATAGACACGTATCCAACACCTGCCAACTAAATTTACAAAACTAATTGAGCTTTTTTTGCAAATTTACCCAAAGTAAGTAAAGCAAATACTAAAAAATACACAATGTTGTTTTCCATCAAATTAAAAGGAAGCCATACATCCACCGGTAGTTGTCTTTCTTGTACAAGAAAAGGTTTCACCGCCCAGCTTACATTACCAGCAATAATGGAACCAAGAAACACTTTGGAATTTCTCTGACACGTCTTAACCCACTTTTCCAAAAATTTTTCCTTGTCTTCTTTTACCTCAAACGAGAAATCTTCCAAATAATGAATGCACCTTTTAATCCGGCTTCCATTCATAACAAAAGGCATCAGTTTGGTAATTTGGCAAGCTGTTTCGGCCACTAGAAACCCATTATCACCGATCCTCATCTGGTCAATCTCTTCACCAAAAATAAAATTCAAAATTCCTAAAACCGGTACAGGGTATGTAAATGCAAAATATAGTAACAAGGAGCGTAAACGCGATTTTCTTGTGGGTTTTTCAGGAGGGTATAAGCCAAATGCTCTCATTATGTAGATGTTAATGCTGAAACTCTGCCAGATGATGGTGGTCATTTTAACTAGACCGCTGCGGGGATGCAAATGAGGGTTGCGTTTAATTTTGGTGAATCTAAGGGTTCGATAAGATGGCACAAAGGAATTTCTAAACCCTTTAATCAAGTAAGGGTCAAATTAAAATTACATCAAAGGCGATAAATAAATTATAATGATCACGAAAGCCTGCAAGTGAGCGACTTTTGTTGTGGTCGTCGGTTTCATTTAAAATTCTTTATGGGTAAGTGAAGCTTAAAAATTGTGCTTTAAAATTAAATTAATTATTTTTCGTTGAATAGAGAACGGGAGCTACTCGTATTACGACAGTTGTGTATTGAAGTTCACCATTTACGTAGGTATCGAAATAAAAATTATTATTCTTGTAAATAATTATGGAAACACACGAGACGTTGTGAAAGCAATCTTTTAGAAATATACTATATTTAACAAATTTGTTGATATAATTATATAAAAGACACAGAGAAATAAGAACAATACAAACTCAAGAAAGTCAAAAGAGCCAGACAAAGTCGAAAATAATAACGTTCGACAATATTTTCTTTCAATATATGCAGTTGTTAATTTTCATGTATTCATAAATTTGTTTATATGTGCTAATTTATAGTATGGTTCGTCGTCGTTAATTTATTAATTTATTTGTCAATTTATTAGTAAATATTTTTTTAACCCTTTCTTTGTAAGAGTATTATTAAATAATTGACTTATAAATTTGTTTATCATTTTGTATTGTGCTCTACGTTGGCCATCAACAAATACAGTTCAGTGAATGGCTTAGAATTTTGTGGTTTTTGTGTTACATTTGTTGCCAATCAGCAAGAACCAGGGAAAGATCTGGAACAAGTCTAACCAGGAAAGGATAGCGTTAGGGTTTGTTACTGAGGAATTAAATGATAAAATACAACCACAATACAGATACAATACAAATTCAATACAGATATACATATACAAACGACATTCCACGAATCACTTCACTTCACTTCTCCTAGTGACAATCCACGAACGAAAACTTCACCTCATGCTATTCCAAGAACGACTGACGACATGAAGAATTTTCTCATTTTTTAATTTTTAGATTTTTCGAATATCTGCTACATCAAATTTTCGAATTTTCGATATTTCGATTTTTCGATATGTAATTTTATGAAATTTCGATTTTCGAGTTCTTGATTTTATCATTTTCGTTTTTTGGAATAATTATTCATTTCATATTTATAAGTTTTTTGATCTTCGATTTTTCTAATATTGGTTGATTGATCGAGTTTTCGGATTCTCCGAGTTTTCGAATTTTCAATTTTTGACTTTTTGGAACATAAAACTTTCGAATTTAGATTTTTTGATCTATCAAATTCCCAATTCTTTCGATCGATCGATTTTCGAGTTTTTTATTGTCCAATTTTCGATACTTTTATCATTTAATTATCGATTTTTACTTATTTTTTCGAATTTTGTTTTTTCGAGTTTTCAGTTTCCCGGTCTTTGAATATTCGATTTTTCGAAATTTCTGTTTTCGAGTTTTCGATTTTTCGAATTTTCTAATTTAGATCTTTCGATTTTTGATCCATCTTTGGAAGTTTTGACTTTTTTAAATCTCGATTTTCGAGGTTTCTATTTTCCAATTTTCGAGTTTGCTAATATTTGATTCACCGAATTTTCGAATTTTCTATTTTTTTTAAATCTCGACTTTCGAGTTTTGATTCTTCCATTTTTAGATTTTGGAATATTTGAGTCAATGAATTTTCGAATTTTCGGTCCTTCGGTTTTCCATTTTCGATTTTTTGCATATTTGACGCATCAACTTTACAATTTTTCGAATTAGCGTTTTTTCAAGTTTTCGTGTTTTCGATTTTCGACTTTTTGGAATATCGAAATTTCGAATTTCGATTTATCAAAACCTCGAATCTTTTCGATCCATGTTTGGAATTTTCGATTCTTTTAAGTCTCGATTTTCGAGCTTTCTATTGTAAAATTTACTTCATGATTTTTCTAATATTTATTTTTCGCGTTTTGGATTATCGATCTCACCAATTTTGGTTACTTATTTTTTCAAATTTAGTTTTTTCGAGTTTTCAGTTTTCTAGTTTTCTGAATTTTTGATCTTTTGAAATTTTGATTTTCGTGTTTTACATTTTTCGATTTTTCGAATTTCGATCTTTCGATTTTTGATCCATCTTTGGAATTTTTGATTTTTTTAAATTTCGGTTTTCGAGTTTTCTATTTCCAATTTTCGATTTTGCTAATATTTGATTTACTGAATTTTCGAATTTTCATTTTTTTTAATCTCTAATTTCGAGGTCTTGATTTTTTCATTATCAGATTTTGGAATATTTGAGTCAATGAATTTTCGAATTTTCGGTTTTTCGGTTTTCGATTTTGGATTTTTTGCATATTTGACGCATCAACATTTCAATTTTTCGAATTTGCGTTTTTTCAAGTTTTCGTGTTTTCGATTTTCGACTTTTTGGAATATCGAAATTTCGAATTTCGATTTATCAAAACCTCGAATCTTTTCGATCCATGTTTGGAATTTTCGATTCTTTTAAGTCTCGATTTTCGAGTTTCCTGTTGTAAAATTTACTTCATGATTTTTCTAATATTTATTTTTCGCGTTTTAGATTATCGATCTCACCAATTTTGGTTACTTATTTTTTCAAATTTTGTTTTTTCGAGTTTTCAGTTTTCTAGTTTTCTGAATTTTTGATCTTTTGAAATTTTGATTTTCGAGTTTTACATTTTTCGGTTTTTCGAATTTCGATCTTTCGATTTTTGATCCATTTTTGGAATTTTTGATTTTTTTAAATTTCGATTTTCGAGTTTTCTATTTCCAATTTTCGATTTTGCTAATATTTGATTTACTGAATTTTGGAATTTTTATTTTTTTTGAATCTCTACTTTCGAGGTCTCGATTTTTTCATTTTCAGATTTTGGAATATTTGAGTCAATGAATTTTCGAATTTTCGGTTCTTCGGTTTTCGATTTTCGATTTTTTGCATATTTGGCGCATCAACTTTTCAATTTTTCGAATTTGAGTTTTTCAAGTTTTCGTGTTTTCGATTTTCAACTTTTTGGAATATCGAAATTTCGAATTTCGATTCATCAAAACCTCGAATCTGTTCGATCCATGTTTGGAATTTTCGATTCTTTTAACTCTCGATTTTCGAGTTTTCTGTTGTAAAATTTACTTCATGATTTTTCTAATATTTATTTTTCGCGTTTTGGATTATCGTTCTCACCAATTTTGGTTACTTATTTTTTCAAATTTTGTTTTTTCGAGTTTTCAGTTTCTAGTTTTCTGAATTTTTGATCTTTTGAAATTTTGAATTTCGAGTTTTACATTTTTCGGTTTTTCGAACTTCGATCTTTCGATTTTTGATCCATCTTTGGAATTTTTGATTTTTTTAAATTTCGATTTTCGAGTTTTCTATTTCCAATTTTCGATTTTGCTAATATTTGATTTACTGAATTTTCGAATTTTCATTTTTTTTGAATCTCTACTTTCGAGGTCTTGATTTTTTCATTTTCAGATTTTGGAATATTTGAGTCAATGAATTTTCGAATTTTCGGTTCTTCGGTTTTCGATTTTCGAATTTTTGCCTATTTGACGCATCAACTTTTCAATTTTTCGAATTTGCGTTTTTTCAAGTTTTCGTGTTTTCGATTTTCGACTTTTTGGAATATCGAAATTTCGAATTTCGATTTATCAAAACCTCGAATCTTTTCGATCCATGTTTGGAATTTTAGATTCTTTTAAGTCTCGATTTTCGAGTTTTCTGTTGTAAAATTTACTTCATGATTTTTCTGATATTTATTTTTCGCGTTTTGGATTATCGATCTCACCAATTTTGGTTACTTATTTTTTCAAATTTTGTTTTTTCGAGTTTTCAGTTTTCTAGTTTTCTGAATTTTTGATCTTTTGAAATTTTGATTTTCGAGTTTTACATTTTTCGGTTTTTCGAATTTCGATCTTTCGATTTTTGATCCATTTTTGGAATTTTTGATTTTTTTAAATTTCGATTTTCGAGTTTTCTATTTCCAATTTTCGATTTTGCTAATATTTGATTTACTGAATTTTCGAATTTTCTTTTTTTTTTAATCTCTACTTTCGAGGTCTTGATGTTTCCATTTTCAGTTTTGGAATATTTGATTTAATTAATTTTCGAACTTCCATTTTCGATATTTCGGTTTTTGATGTATTGAATATTTGATGTTTCAAGTTTCCGATTTTGTGAGGTTTCATGTGTTTTTGATTTTCGATTTTTCGAATATTGGATGTATTGAGTGTTTGATTTTTCGAGTTTGCGACTTTGCGGGTTTTCATTTTTTCAATTTTTAATGGTTCGAATATTTGACTCATAGAATTTTCGAATTTTTGGTGTTTCGATTTTCGATCTCTCGAATTTTCGATTTTTCAAATTTTCTATATTTCGACTTTTTGATTTTTCGAATGATTGATTCATGGAATTCTTTAATTTTTCAGTTTTCAACTGTCGATCTATGGAATTTTCGATTTTTCAATTTTTCCATAAATCCCAATTTTAGCGTTTCCTGTTTTTCGGTTTTTAGAATTTTCGAAATCTCCATTTACAAAGTTATGATTTTTTTTTTGTATTTCAACGTCTGAATTTTCGATTTTCGATTTTCAGATTTTTCGATACCTCGTTTTACAATTTTTCAAACATTTGATCCATCAAATTTTCGAATTTTCGAGTTTTCGGTTTTTCGACTATTTTCTTTTCGATAAATCGATTTTCGAGTTTTCGGTTTTTCGAGTTTTTGCTTTTCAACATCTCGAGTTTCAGTTTCTAATTTTTGGTTTTTGAAATTTTTAATTTTCGACTTTTTTCAATTTTTCAATTTTTTGGTTTTTCGAATTTTGAATCTTCGATTTTTCGTTTTACGATCTTCACAATTTTCGATTTTTGATCGTTGGAATTCTCGAGTATCCGTTTTTGAAATCTCGTTTTACGAGATTTCGGTTTTTCGAGTATTGAATTTTCGATTTTTCGTGTCTTTTTTTGCTTTTTCACATTTTTTTTTTTTGACTTCCCTTTTTTCGATTTTTCAACTTTTCGGTTTTCGAGGTTTAGATTTTCGATTTTTCGTTTTACGCTAATTGGATTTTTCCATTTTTCGATTTTCGATCTATGGAACTTTCGAATATCCGTTTTTGAAATCTCGTTTCTCGAATTTTCAATTTTTGAATATCGCTTTTTTCGGGTTTTCAAATTTTTGATTTTTCGAATTTTGAATTTTCGATTTTTCGTTTTACAGTTTCCCGATTTTTCTATATTTAAATGGAATATCAAAAATGTCAAAAATGAAAAATTTCAAATTTCTTATTTTTGACATTCATTTTTTCGATTTCAATTTTTCAATTTTTCAAATTTTGGATCTTCGATTTCTTGTTTAACGGTATTTCGATATTTAAATTTTTCGATTTTCGATCTATGGAATTTTCGAGTATCCGCTTTTGAAATCCCGTTTTTCGAATTTTCGTTTTTTCGATATAGTGATTTTCGAGTTTTCAATTTTTTGGTTTTTGAAAGTTTCAATTTTTGATTTTTCGTTATTTCTACTTTTCAGTTTTTTGGTTTTTTGAATTACGAATTTTCAATATTTCGTTTTTCGATTCTTCGATTTTTCCATTTTTCGAATATTCGGTTCATCGAATTTTCGATCTTTGGCTTTTAAATTTTTGGAAAATATCGATTTTCGAGTTTTCGAAATCTCAATTTTAAAGTTATTGAATTTCACATATTTTTGACTTGCTCCATGTTTCTAAAATTTAATTTTTTGCAAAAAAATTCCATCTCCTAAGCCCCCCCTGTTCGTTTCCTAAGAACAAGCACACTCCAGACTAAATATAAACAAGTGTGTTTTCGTAACATAATGTGTTCGAATCATAGACATTGGCGGAGTATGGGTGATTAAAATATGATATATGTATTCAGAAAAATAAGCTCTAGAAGCATTTCCAAAAATATAGTGTCATTATAAATTTCACAAAATAATTTTTTTAATTTTTCGAAAAAGTTATGATAAAATCAGAATGAGGCATTTATTCGTAAGTATTTTAAACATGTTTTACAGCAAAAATAAACTTGAACAAATGTTTGTTTCCTTTATTTCACAATGGACTTCGTCGAGAATCACTAAGATGATGTAACAGTTTTGCAATTTTTATTGTAAGATGGATTTTACAATTTTATACAAATAAACAGTTACACTACACTGATTTTGCAAATGTGTTAGAAAAACAATTATAACGACATTTAACCCTAAATAAATACCTACATACGTAATAATTGACGCAAATAATTAGTAAACACTAAATTACTGATTTTTTAGAACAGCAAGAAGTGAATAGGAACGTTGTAAAATCTGCAACAAATTTCTCATTTGTATTAATTTTGCAAACAAACTATAATATAAAACTAACCATCACGAAAGTGTCCACAGACAAATCTAGAATTTTTCCAGCCGTCACAGAAATTGGCCGTTTAGATCGTTCCATCAGAAAAATCAAATCTTTTTTTGAATTGATGTCGTAATCATACCAGTTTCCCATATAAATTGCATTCGACAGAGAATTGCTCTAAAATTTTAATTCCAGTTAAATTTACATACACTTATTGCAATCATACACACTTCTTCATACAGTATGGTCCCATAGTAACAATAAAAATATATTTCAGCCAGAAAAACAATCAAATAACCTACAGTGTTGAAAAAAGTTATAGTCATTGGTGGCAGCTGAAACAAAGTGATTATTATTGATTGCGGATTAGGAGAATAATTTTACCTTGTTTAATTGCAAGCAACAAAAGCATACAACCACAACACTGGCTAAAAATTGGCTGAAAACGATACTCGAAAAGCAGCGTTCATACTCTTTGATAAAACTACAATTAGTAAATTTATAAAATTTAGAAATTAATTGTTTTTCAAGTTTACTCACCTTAAGATTGCGCTGTGATATTTCACACATTTTTTAATATTTCGTTTCATGGTGTCACTAGAGGATTCGGCAGACTTAGTGTGAAGATTTTGCAAATTATTTTTGAGAACTTGAAGATGCCCCGACGCTAGACAGCAAAGCCCACCAATCAGAGGGTCAATCGCGGCATTACTAAGAGACATGTAACCAATACCTAATAACAATAACCGACTTAAGAAAAGTACTGTACAATTATCCAAATTTTTAGTACCTAAAGACAACATTAAAAATATTATGCAGTAGATTTTCGTGTTTTCAGTGGGACTACAAGGAAACCACACATCCACCGGAAGAATTCTCCCCTCTCCCAGAAACGGCTTCAAGTTAAAGCTTATATTACCCACAACGATGGAAACAATAAACACTTTAGAATTCCTCCGACAAATATAAATGCTCTTTTCTAAAATCTTTCTATTGTCTGGTGCCACTTCAAAGGACGAATCTTCCAAATAGTGAATGCATCGCTTCATTTGACTCCCATTCACAACAAAAGGCATTAGTTTGATAATTACACACGCTGTTTCGGCCACAACAAAACCGTTATCACCAATTCTCGTCTGGTCCTCCTCCAAAAAAATATACAAAGCACCCAACGCCGGCACTGGAATTAGAATTACAAAGTATAACAAATAAGAACGTATGCGAAATAATCGTGTCGGTTTTTCTGGAGGATATAACCCGAACAGTTTCATTATTTTGATGTTTGTGTTAAAACTCTGCCAGATGATGCTGATCATCTTAACTCGGACAGTGCAGGAATGAAGTAACCGTGTTTAATTTTATTACGAGGACAAGTTCAAAGGAATCACGCATCCCTTTAATTAAGTTAGGGTCAAAGCGAAATTACATCAAAGGTAATAATTAAATTATAATCATCACGAAAGCCTGCAAGGGGGTAAGTTTTGTTAGTCGCCGGTTTAATATAATATTCTTTGTGTGTAACTGAAACGTGAAAGTGGGTGAAAATCCGTCTATTTTTTATTTTTCTAGACTTAAGGTGGACAAAACTGTTTAAGTGTATGATATGTGTGTAGAATAGTCACCTTCACGTAAACATTGTTTTAAATATGAATGTTGAGAATCAATTCCAAAGAGTGTCTAAAAGGTGTAGATTGTACTGAGAAGAAAAATATCCAAGAAGAAACAGCAGATTTTTTTATGCAGTTCAACTTCAAGTAGGGAAAGATATTTATTTCCAATAATTAATTAATTTGTTTTTTTATTCTAATTTGTTCTAGATCTGATCATCAAAAATAAACCTGTCCAACACATCTTTGCTTCTTTGAAAAATTATAAAATTTATTTATGCGAAATTTTAATTTTTTGTGATAACCTATAACGAAGGAATAAAGACAATATAAAAACTACTAGTCACAGTGTAAGAAAAAAAAAGTTTTCAACCTCTTAAAAAAAAGATATTTGGGGCTTCGACAAGGTTTCACATTTAAAAAAAAAAAACGACAATTGGTGACTCCGAGAAGGTTTATATATATTTGATTTTACGATTTTCGCTGTAAAATAAAAACCAGAGGCATAAATAACACCCCTTGTCTTTCAACACAAAATATTTATTAAAAATATTGTTTTCTTACTTATTGCTACAAATCTTAAAATCGCCAGTTAGGTCAACCAGACACCCAACATCTATTATTTTTACTAAACACAGTACAGTTTACTAGCACATTGTATAGTGTCTCAGATACTACAAGGTTATATGGCCCCACTAAACTTAATAATGGAATGTTATAATTTCTTTTGTGCGGCTGGTTACCGACTCAATCCTAGCAATATAATAAATAATAAATCAAGCATTTGTCTCAATGTCTTGCCGCCTCAATATAATTGCTGGCTAATCTGCTTAAACATTTTTGAGACATTAAACCAACACAAACACAATTTACAACTGTGGGTTTGCTTTATTAACTGCTCCATTGTCGTCTTCATAATATCCTAATTTTACAACAGCCATATAACCTTGTAGTATCTGCGACACTATACTTGTCTCATTTTATTTAATACTTACAGTTTCTACTGAACAAAGTTATTAGGTCATGAACATAACAAACTATTTAAGTTATCTAAAAACTGCATACTGTGGTGACCAGATTTGAATGAACATTTCGTGCAAAAAATCGCATTTGAATAATTTGAATTAAAAAAAAATTCAACCAAAAAATTCGTCAAACATAGGCAACCATGTGCACGTTTAGTTCTTGCTGGTAGCTGGTAGTTCTGCTAGGAAGTTTTAGTTAAGAGGGTTGGTAGTGAGAGGACCCATAGCGAGAAGTTGGCTTGCTTTGTAGAAGGTGGAGAGAAGGTCACTTTTGGTTTGTTGTTGTGAGTGTAAGCACGTGGTGAGTTAGCTAGGTCAAGTTTAAGTGGTTTGGTAGTTAATAAAAAGGAAGAGCATTTGTTTAACGAAAATTACACAGTTTCCTCAACACGCATAACCGATTCTTGGGTTTTTTTTTCAAACGGAAATAGGCGAATTTGCGACCGACGATAACACGTTGTGTAAATTTGTTTTATTGTTTGCAAATGCACAGTTCATGTTAGGATTTTAATCGTTAACACGTTAAGCGCAAGTCAAAATGATGCATGTACGTACAGTCATAGGCAAGTACGTGTTCTATATAAACTTTTATATATGGTAACATAGGTTATTTGTTGAAATTCGAAAATTTTGACACATATTTTTCAAAAAAACCAAATTGGACACCGGTGTCTGCTTTGGCCCTTCATTACATTTTATGCTATTTTTACATAACTGGGTCACAGCGGTCTTATAGAGCAAACACAATTCCACGTTAGTGAGTATTTAAAAATATGTAGAGGAACCCCGGTGTTTTGATATTGAAAAGATTTTATAGATTCTCGGGTGCTGCTGGTATTAATTTTGAGAGTGTCTGAAAGGATTTCAGGGACCATGGGTGTTTTGATTTTGAAAGATATTAAAAGAATCTAGGAGGCTCCTGTTTTGACAGAATTTTAAAAATTCTCGGGGGTCTCTAGTGTTTTGATTTTAAAACATTTTAAAGGAATCACGGGGACTTTTGATGTCTAGTTTTTGAAAGAATTTTAAAGAATCTAGAGGACACCTAGCGTTCTGATTTTGAAAAATTTTTAAAGATTCTCGGGGATCTCTAGTAGTTTGATTTTGAAAATATATGAAAGAATCTTGGGGACGACGGGTGTTTTTGATTTTGAAAGAGTTTAAAAGAATCTCGAGAACTCTTGTTATTAAGACTAGAATATATATTGATAATGATTGGATAGTACAAGACCAAAAAATTCAAAAAGGAATTAGGGAGATAGCTAAAGAGGAAAGAAAAAAAAGGATACACTACAAGGGTGGGATATAAGAAGCTGGAAGTAGGGGACAAAATGTATATATGGAATGAAAATAAAAGAAAATTGGAAGAAAAATTTCTCAAATCAAGTCAGCACTAACTGAAGAAAGAAACACAAAGGGGAGGGGTAGTAATGATGGGACAAATAAAGACTTTAGGTTTAAGAATGTAGATTTTGTACATAATAGGGGAATGGGAAAGAAGAATGGGGAAGATAAAAGTGGTTTAAAACTACTCTTTTGGAATATTGCGGGTTTGAAAAAGAAAGATAACTTATTTTGGAACTACGTGAAAAATTTTGATTTTGTGGGACTAACAGAAACATGGATACTAGAGAGAGACTGGAACAAACTGAAAGACGTATTGCCAAAGGAATTTCAGTGGAAATTGCAAGGGGCAAAAAAAGAAAAACGCAAGGGTAGAGCAAAAGGTGGAATCATAACAGGAGTGAAGAAAGATATAAAAGAAATAGGAGAGGGGGCAATAGAAATGGAAGGCTTAGTTGAAAGAAAACTGATTGTAAATAAAAAAAGATGGAGAATCTGTACAATATATAGTAGAGGAATGAGAAACACGAAACAATAAATACAAGAAAAAATCGAGTCCGAAGAAGAATTTCTATTGTTAGGAGGGGACTTTAATGCCAGAATAGGGAACAAAAGCAGGGAAAAAGACGGGGAAAACACACGAAAATCTAAAAATAAAGTAGAAAATAAAGACGGAAAATTGCTATGGGAATTAATTGAAGAAAGAGGTTGGGAAGTCTTGAATGGGGTGAAGGAAGGGGACGAGGAAGGGGAATTTACCTGGATAGGTAAAAGAGGAGAATCGATAATAGACTACGTAATAGTAAACGGATTAGCAGAAGAAGAGGTAGAAACATTCAAGATAGGAGAAAGAGTGGACTCCGATCACATGCAACTAGAAATAAAAGTGAGGGGCATAAGTAGAGGGAGCGGATGCTTAAGGAATGAAGTAGGAAAAGAGAAGAAGATATGGGTATGGAATGAAAAAGGAATTGAGCATTATAAAAAAAAATGTTGGAAGTGGAATTTAAAGAAAAAGGAACTGAAAAAAAAAATGGAAGAATTAAAAAAAGAAATTGAAAAAGCAGCCATAAGGAAAGAAGTTGTAACGACAAATTCAGAAAAGAGAAACAGATGGTGGGATAGCAGATGCAGAGATTTAAAAACAGAAGCAAGGAAATGTTTACGAAGGTGGAAAAAGGGGAAAGGTATAAAAGAAGAGTACTGGCAAGCAAAAAATAATTATAGATAACGATGCAAAGAAAAGAAAGAAGAGGTACAGCAAGAAGAAGAAGAAAAAATTAAAGCCATAAGAACTGAGCAAGAGGTATGGCAGTATATAAATAAAGAACGGAAGAACAAAATCACGATTAGTGAAGACATACCTATAATACAGTGGAAGAAGCATTTTATGAAAGTGTTGAATGGAAAGGAAGAGCGAATTGTAGTGCAAGATAGTAAAACCGGGATTGGTGGTAGAGAAAGGGAAGCGGAGATTCGAGTAGAGGAAGCAGGAAAACAAGTAGGAAGACTGAAAAGGGGAAAAGCACCGGGGAGGAATGGGTTGGTAAACGAAGTGTGGATATTTGGAACGGATGGGATGATTGAAAGATTGAGCGAGTTAATGAATGATGTGTGGACGGGTAAAGGTTTTCCCAGGGAATGGAGAGTAGGACAAATATGCCCAATTCCAAAAAAAGGTAGTAAAGAAAAAGTAGAGAATTATCGGGGAATAACTCTTATAAATACGGCATATAAACTGTACGCAATGGCGTTAAATGAAAGGTTGGTCACAGAGATGAACGAAAAGAGTATATTACCGGAAAGTCAAGCGGGATTTAGAAGAGGTAGAGGGGCTATGGACAATGTATATATCCTGCATCATCTAATAGAAAAAGAGTTGCTAAAGGAAGGAGGTCGGGTATATGCACTGTTTGTAGACCTAAAAGCCGCGTTTGATACGGTGGACAGAGAGTGTTTGTGGGAATGCATGGAAAGAAGAGGACTGAGTGAAAAGTTAGTTGTAGCAGCAAGAGAGATTTATAGAGAGACAGTGACTAGTGTGAGAGTGCGAGGAATAGAAAGCGAAATGTTTTGGACGACGAAACGATTGAGACAGGGATGCCCATTAAGTCCCAGTCTGTTTGCTTGTTACATAAGCGATATCGAGGAAATGTTTAGAGGAGTACAAGCGGGAGGAATTGTGGTGGGGAGAGAAAAGGTATGGTGTTTGGCATTTGCAGATGATTTGGTAATATTGGCGAAGGATGAATGTGGAATGAATGAGATGAAAAAAAATCTGCAAAGATACTTTAAAAGAAAGAAACTGGGGGTAAATGTAGAAAAAACAAAAATGATGGTGTTTAGAAAAAAAGGGAGAAAAGGGGAGGAAAAAGTGTGGCGTTGGGAAGATCGAATCATAGACACAGTAAAGGAGATTAAATATTTAGGATTTAAGTTTACAACAACTAACACGGTAAAAACACACATAAGAGAAAGAAGAGTCAAAGCAATGCAGAAAATGGGAATGGTGTGGAGTATAGGTGAGAGAATATTTGGACATGACCTAAGAAGAAGGACGAAAATGTTTGCTAGTTTAGTTAGGAGTGTATTAATGTATGGAGTGGAGATATGGGGATGGAAGGAATATGCAGAGATTGAAGCAGCACAAGAAAAATATTTGAGGTGGATGTTAGGGCTACGGAAAGAGACGCCAGGCTATATAGTAAGAGAAGAATGTAAACGAGAGAAACCAAGAGTATACACTGGGAAAAGAGCTGTAAAGTATGATGAAAGGTTGAAAGAAAGAGAGGAATGTAGGATATTGTATGAATGCTGGAAGGAAAAAAAAAGGAAGCAGGGAAAGAACATTACAAGGGTAAACATGGATATTATGAAAGACTGGGATACCGCATGGATAGATAAACAAGAGAGAAGAGCGAGTGTAAGTAATTCTAGGTACAATGCGGACTATAGAAAGATAATAACAGAAACAATACCAAAGTACCTAGACAGAGAAAGCGCGAAAGAAAAAAAAATAATTGCGAGATTTAGGTGTGGAAATGAAGAAAGAAATAATAAGTTTTGGGTAAGCGAAGGTGAGAGAATGTGTAGGATGTGTGGAGAAGGGCGAGAGACGATAGAGCACATGCTGCATGACTATGAGGAGAGCAAAGAAAGAGAGGAGAGTGTGACAGAGATATTGAATGAAGACGGAAGAGGGGTGGAATGGATGAAAGAAGTGGAGAGGACAAGAGTAAGGCTGGGGCAAGGGGGGATGGGGTAAAGGAAAGAAAAATTAGTTATTTAGTTTATAAAATGTATTTATTTGGTTTTTGTTAACTAGGGAAAAATTGTAGTGTCAAGAATCTTTTTAAGCCCGTAGGGTAAAAAATAAACACTTACTACTACTACTCATTGGACAAATTAACAACCTTGTGGGTTATGTGCATTTTATTTCTTTGATTAAGATCATTATTTGCACAACGCCGCAGGATTGATTGCATTTCTAGGAGACATTTTTTTTTGGAACGATGCATTCGTCCGACACCATTTTTATGTGTATGTTTAGGATAATGTAAAACGATGGCCCAAAATGCAGCTGAATAACTCCACTTTTTGAAAATTTAAACAATAACTCGAATGGACACAAAATATTAAACTCATGTAATTTTGTATATCTCACAATTTTAGCCTCAGTAATTTTCTTTGCTGCATAATTTAAATGGAACGTAAACTTTCATGCTCTGGAGTTTCTAATCTCACGAAGCTTTTATCTGCACAAGTTTTATTTCACATAAGATCTTTTTGTTTGTATAAATCTTTGCTAGTTTTTTGTTTTGTAAATATTTCGCTTTTTTATATACATAACATTCTTTAAACAGCACGATTAAAAACATGTTTTTAATTTCTTGTAAAGAAATAAGGAGTTTGCAGTTAAGCTCTGCTCCCTTGATTCACGGCCAATAAGAAAAATCATCACAATTGAGATAGGGCGGGTGGGCGAGCTTACTTTTTCTCTTTTTGTTTTAATATTTGTAGACTTCTTTTCACAACATGAAACTTAAAATATGTTTAAAATGGAATAGTATAAGATTTGACAATTAGGCTCCGCTCCATAATTGCAAAATCCCTATTTTCTTGCAAAAATGTACCATTTTAACCATGTTTTAAGCTACTTGTGGTGAAAAGATGGCTATGTATATGAACAAAAAAAAAAACAATTTAAGCCCCGCCCACCCGCCCTATCTCAATTCTGATGATTTTTTTTATTCGTCGTAAGCCGAGGGGCGGAGCTTGATTGTAAAATCTTTATTTTTCTACGATAAATTACCATGTAAAATGTGTTCTTAAGTAATCGTGTTATGCAAAGAAAACTAATAAATGTATTAATTAAAAAAGAAAACCAGAAGAGAAGCTCCGCCCATCCGTCTCGATCTCAATCGTAATGAATTTTTCATTCGTTGTCAGATCGAGGGGCGGAGCGTAATTGCAAAAGCAATATTTCCCTATACAAATTTACCATTTTAAACATGTTTTAAGTTTCTTGTTGCGAAAAGATGGCTATGTATATTAAGAAAAAAAGACAAAATATAAGCCCCGCCCACCCGCCCTGTCTCAATTGTGATGATTTTTTTATTGGTCCTGAGCCAAGTGGGCGTAGCTTAACTGCAAAATCCTTAAGGATTTAAGGAAAGATGGATTTTGCAATTAAGCCCCGCCCGTCCGTCTGACAACGAATGAAAAATTCATCACAATTGAGAATTGAGATCTGAGCGGGTATGGGTATGATTTCCTTTTTGTTTTAATATGTGTTCCATCATATAAATTGTCTGATGTTCAATCTTATTGTCAGATGAGAATTCTTTGCTGTTTAAATATTTCACGAGAGTTTATGGCGAATTTAAATGTTGTTCATTGCTCTTTAAAACCTTGACACTGGTGCAGTTGTAGTTTAATATCAGAGTCACAGAAATGGAACATTTTGAAATGGAATTGAGGTTAAGTAACACAGAAACACTTGGCAGAAGCGGAGGGCGCGGTTCCTAGTCGAGCTGGCGGGATTTATCGCCCCATCTGAACAAAGGATGCAGGCTTTGTATAGAAATCAAGGGCGGTCGAGATGACGTGACGTTGTCGACTTGGCCCAACCACGAGTTTACGACGGTAACGGCCTGCTCGTACGGTATATTCGTCATGGAGATGTGCTGTGTGGCAGTAATCATCGTCGTGGGTTGGAGAACAGCCACGACCAGGAGCCCCAAACTTCGCTCGTGCTACAACGCGACCTATGAGTAATTTTGCTGTGCTCTAGAATGAAACTGAGATAGTGCGATTGCCTTGGGGTCCACCACTTGCAACTGAACGCCATTTTTCAAAAACGCAATGAAGGGCTCCATTTTGTTAGACGATCACAGCCAAGACCAAATTTTTGAATTTTTGAATTTTTCGCGGGCTTTCAAATTTTTTCACATGTCAAAAAAAATGCGGGATGTTTGGGTTATCACAATACTTATAATCCTTACAATTTTAATAAAGTAGCAACGAATCATAACGGCGAAATAATACATTTTCCTAAACTAGTATATATGTACAAATAAATACAAAAATATAAAAAAATGAAAATAGCGCTACATAAATTCGACGAATGTATCAAACAATAGACACACAAAAATTGACGCAACTAACAATCCAAATTTATAACATCGTACATAAGACGCTTTACAATATATCTCTGAAACATATCAAGATCAATTTTGACACCCTCACCTATCAGAAATATTAGAACCTCTAAACCACTCCCACTATTACCAAACGCGTATTGGAGAGGCAGTCGACCTGCCGCATCTGGAACATGGACTTTCGCACCGTTCGCCACCAAGATTTTTACTACGTCCATGTTACCTTTCTGACAAGCGTGATGAATCGGCAGCCGACCATTATCATCAGGAACATCAACTTTATCCATCTTCCGAACCAAATACAGTACTATATCTTGGTGCCAATTCTCGCACGCGTAATGAATTGGTAGCTTACCATTGCTATCACCAACACACATTTGAGCACCCATTGTCACCAGAAATTTCAACATATCTAGATCACGTTTTCTACAAGCGTGATGCACAGGTAATAAGCCACTTCCATCTGGAATATTAACTTCCGCACCATTGGTCACAAGTAACTGAATTACGCCTCTTTTCCAATAATCACAAGCGTAATGAATGGGTAACACCCCTTCCGTGTCACTTAGATTCATCGTCGTACCCATTTCCACCAAATAATTGACGATATCATAACCATGAAGACAATTCCTACAAGCGTAATGAATCGGTAGTCGACCTTGTGCATCCAGATTGTTAATCGTCGAACCATGACCTACCAACACCTCGACTACTTGCTTCGTGCTTTTTTCAGAGGCGTGGTGTATGGGCAACAAACCATTTTGGTCTGAAACATCCACTTTTGCATCATTGGCTAGCAGCAAACTTACTACAGCTGGGTCTTCTTTGTGACAAGCGTAGTGCAAAGGCGACTTACCACCACCATCTGGAACATCCACCTCTGCACCATTATCTAGCAGCAATTGAACTAAATGGGTGTTCTCTCTTTGGCACGCCAAATGCAATGGTAGCACACCATCATTGTCTGGGATTTCCACATCGCAACCCTTTTCTATTAAAAGTTGTGCTATCTCTTGGCAATAACCATCGTTTTCACAGGCATAGTACAAAGGTAGTTTTCCTTTCGCGTCTGGAATGGTTGTTTCAGCCCCATTGCTCACCAAAAAATCGACCATGCTGGTGAACCAATTCTTACAAGCGTGATGGATGGGTAATAGTTGGTCTCTCGGGTCGGGGATGTTCAAGTCGGCACCATTTTCCACCAGGGTTCTAACTATTTCCACGTTTCTTCTCTCGAAGGCGAAGTGTATAGGCAAATAACCGTCACCATCAGGAATATTAATTTCAGAGTGATACTCTAGTAGTAATTGTGTTACAGTTGGCCAGTCTCCCCGACATGCAATATGTATGGGCAATCGTCCTCGTGAGTCCTGAGTGTTGACTTCTGAACCCTTTTCTAGTAAGAGTTTGATAGTAGGAGGGTGACAATATTCACACGCCTTAAGAATTGGGAGCTTACCCTTTGCGCTTTGAACATTGATTTTGGCATCGTTCTCCAAGAGCAAGCGCACCAGGTTATGGTCCCAGCTTTTACAAGCGTAGTGAATTGGAAGTTTACCTTTAGCGTCTGGAATATTGACTTTTGCGTCTTTTGCTAACAGTATTCCAACTATATTAACCCGCTTGTTCTTACACGCAATGTGAATTGGAAATCTACCTTTAGCGTCTGGAACGTCTACTTCGGAACCACTTGATAACAACATCTGTACGATTTCTGCTTCCAGGTTCTTACAAGCGTAATGAATTGGCAGTTTACCTTTTGCGTCTGGAAGGTTCAATTTAGCTCCTTTTGCCAGCAATAGTTTGACCACGTCTAGGTTTTGGTGTTTACAAGCGTAGTGTAAAATGTGCTCACCATCTCCATCTAAGGCACCATTTTCTAAAAGCCACCGTACTGTTTGTACCTGCCCATTAGTCACAACGTGGTTCAATAGTTGCCGCCCGATTTCACCCGAAACATCAACACTTTGCCCTTTGTCAGTCAAAAACGAAACAACTTCTTCACAAAATGACAGATTTTTGAGAGCGAAATGCATCGGAAGCCACCCTTGAGCGTCAAAAACATCAACCCTTGCCCCGTTTTGTACCAAAAAACTCACCATGTTTGAGTCCGAGGTTTCACAAGCGTAGTGCAAGGGTTGTCGCCCTTGAAAATCCCGTACGTTGACTTTGGCACCATACTTTAGTAGCAATTGTGGTACTTTTAACTCTGTTTTGCAACAAGCGTCATGAATTGGTAGTTTCCCGTTGACATCAGGAGCATCCACCTTTGCCCCATTCTTCATCAAAAGATCTACTATTTTCCAGGAAGCTTCTTCACACGCATAGTGCAAAGGCAGTCGACCTTCACAAACAGGAAGATTCACTTTAGCACCGTTTTCCACGAACATTTCAACCAAAATGACGTCTTTTGCTCGAATCGCGTAGTACATGGGCAACCGCCCATTGATGTCTGGAAGGTTCACATCAGCTCCCTTGTCCAAAAGAAAATGGAACAACATTTTGTTAGTACGATAGAAGATACAAGCGTAGTGTATGGGTCGTGAACCGTCCAAGTCTGGAACGTTCACGTCGATACCTTCGTCCACGAGCAACTTTACCATTTCGACTTGGTTCCGCGGAACGTCGTTACCAAGGGACATGTCGCAACAATTGTGAATGGGGAGCAAACCGTTGGCGTCTGGAACATCGACTTTCGCCCCATTGGCTACAAGTAGCTTGATTGTGTCCGGATTTCCTCTGTGGCAAGCGTCGTGGATTAGTAGACGACCAATTCCATTCGGTGCGTTAACACTGGAACCAGCTTCCACTAGGAGTTTTATCATTGGTTCTAGATTGACAATGAAACTTGTCTTGGCGAAAATGTGGTGAATTGGCAAGTCGCCGTTTGCGTTGAGACGGTTGACTTTGGCACCATTTGCTAATAGGACTTTGACGATCTCTGGGTTGGCATTTTCGCACGCTAGGTGTATCGGAAGGTTACCTTTTGCGTCAGGGGTGTTAATTTTTGAACCGTTTTTGATCAGAAGTGCTACAACTTCTTCTCCTTTGTAAGAAGAATCACAAGCTTGGTGAATTGGGAGTCGACCATTGACATCTGGAATGTCCACTGCGGAACCACTGGTCACCAGAATTGTTAACATATCGGAAGTCCAACCTGTGTATGCGTAGTGGATAGGTAGAAGGTTGTTGGTGTCTCTTTCATTAACATTGCCATTTGTTACCACGAATGGTAATATGTCTGTCCATCTATTCTGACACACGTAGTGTATTGGTAATCTATTGTTGGTGTCCCGGGTGTTCGAATTTGCGCCGTGTTTCGCCAAGAGCTTCAATATTTCTTTATAGTCGTGTTGACACGCAAAATGTATAGGTAGGCAACCAGTTGAGTCCGGAGCGTCAACATCCGCACCATTTTCAACCAATATTTGCACAAAATCTACCCTTTTAGACTCACACGCGTAGTGTAGTGGTAGCTGGTTATTCACATCACGAATGTTCAAGTGTGCACCATGACCCACCAAGAGCTCCACGATTTCTCTACACTTCCGTTGACACGCCAGGTGTATGGGCAAACTCCCATGTCCGTCAAAAACACCCACATCTGCACCATTTTCAACCAATAGTTTCAATAGATCCACCCTTTCTTCCTCACAAGCGTAATGTATAGGTAACCGACCATCCGAATCGAGTTCCTTCACTTCGGCACTAATCACCAACAGTAGCTCCAAGAAACCACTCAAGGGTTTGTTCCGCAGATATTTCATCAGCTGCACCCCGAAATTTGGAAGTCGCTTCAAAAAAACCACAATTATATTAAATTCGGTTCTAAAATTAGCAAAGACGAAGTCAATACTGGTTATCAAATCGTCAAAACTGCACTTAGTTTCCAACATGTCTTTTACAACATTCAGGGATCGGTAACGGAGGGCTAAAGTTAGAACGCTTTGTGGATTAACCTTGTGGAAAGCATTGACCAAAGACGAATCGTCGTCACTTTTTAGAACCGCGGAAACATCAAACCTAACCGCGTAGTACAAAACCGAATGTAAATAGTCATGCTGGAAGTCGTCTTTGTCAAAAACAGGTATCAGAAATGGTAGGAAAATTAGCAAAAATTTCGTAGATAGGGCTAGAGTGTTTTGAACTTGGAGGAACAACTTGGATATGGAACGATGATCTAAACTCTTGGTACGAATGTTGCTACCTGATATCCACTCGTCTTTGAAACAATCGTCAATCATTAAGTCGTCTATCTTGACAAGTGGATAAGTCCTACTCCACGAACAAGATACTTCCAAAATATCACGACCAATGACGTCTTTGTGATTTAAGTCGTCTTGAGTACACTGTGCCAGAAGTTTTGGATTTTTGTACAAAACCGCCACAAATCCTCTACTCTTTTTGGTCAACATCAAGTCTAAGAAAAATCGGATATTGCTGAAACGACCGTCAGAAATGAAAGTTTTGTCTTTGGCTTTACGAGATTGGTTTTTGAAGAGATGCAAAGCGGCAAAATATTCACCGTAGGAGTTATGGGTGAACTCGAAATCGTTTCGACTATTGGCTTGTAAGAACCCCACAGAGTCCCCTTTGGTTCCAATCTTTTTCAAAACGTTACTCACTTCGTTGCTGTAGCCGAAAAACCTAGTCACTATTTTGGTAAACACGTCTGCCAAATATAAATGAAAAGCTACATTTACGTAATTATTGACAGTTTTAATTTTCTTGTTTAGGTACTTTTGATAGTTGTGGTCGATCGTCAAGTCTTGCTTATTTTTGTCTTGGTAAAATATAAGAAACTTCTCTTCGACGAAATGTTCGTATAGATCCAAAATTGTGAAAACGCCGTCTATCAAGCCCAGGTACTTTTGCTCATTTCTGGAAAGTAACTCCGTCAACATGTAGATCTGCAGAGGAATCCCCAAAATATCATTGTTCGAAAAGGTGGTAATATTGTCTTTGATTTTGCCAAACGTCTCAGTCATCTGTTCCGAAGGAATCTGAAGACGTTCTCTTATATAATTTTTCTGTTCTTGATCGTTGAACTCCTTTATGTCTCTAGCAAAACAACTGAATTTTCGTTCAAGTCGTTGCTTCAGGTTGGTACGAGATGTCAAGAATTGTTTGATCCCGTTTTTCCTAACCGTCTCCACTAATCGTAAAATAGCGTCCAAGGACTGATCAGAAACTTCATCCAGTCCATCCCACACCAACTGAAACTTATGACAATTGATCATTGTCTTCACGACTTCACTATACCAAACATCGTCATTGTCACTCTCGAGTAAAATGTGTTCTTTGAACTGTTCAAATTGTGTTTGATTTTTCCGAAATTTCAAAGCGGTGTTCCTGGCATGCATCAGAATAACCCAAGACGTCGACGAGGTACCAATTTTCAGACTTTTCATCAGAGTACTTTTGCCCATACCTGGGTTAGCACAAATCAGAGTGATGTCGTCTTCGTCTGCACCCAACTCAGACTCGTGGATATTATAGTCACTGTTTTCGTTCTTGAAAACAAAATCGTCAAGTTGGTGATTTTCACCACAGTTGGCACTTTTTTTCCACTCGAGACAGTTATTGTCAAGAAATCTCAAAAGGTGGAACGCCACTGTTGACTTTTTTTGACACAAGTTATCGAATTGTTCTTGCGATATGTCAGTCGTACTGACGTAGATGAATTTTTTGTCGAGCGGGTCCTCGTGGACAATGTTAATGTCAATAACTTCTATGTTATGTAGACGTTGTTTGAACTTGGAAATGTTTGGAACGCCACCCACTACAGCGACGCTATCGTCATCTATCGTCTCCAGGAACCCAAATTCGATTAAAACTTTGGTTAGCCGTCTTTGTATGTGACTAGGTGGCAAAGTTTCTTTCTTTTTTCCGATGACTAGAGGACCATTTAACATTTGCAGAATTTTGTCAGCAGTAATCAACTTGTCGATTGTGTCGTCACACATCTCTATCAAACTTTTTAACGGAGTTTCCTTCTGGCCTTCCAGTGAATACGTACAAGAGTTCAAGACGTCCTCAAAAAGTTGGGTGTGACGTTTCAAATCAGACAAATTCTGAAACTGGACGTCACTATTGTCGACAATGTCGTCTAGAATCACTAAATTTTCTCCGTTGCAAATTTTCTTTGCTTTGTAGATTTCTGGAGATCCGTCTACCACCAGTGGACACTTCCCTAGTAACCAAACGAGCTTACTCACTTCTTTATCTTCACCATAGAAGTCGTTTTTGGCACCGATCCACTTTAACCTCAACTGGTACTTCTTTTTGACATCACTGATTTCCTGAAAGTCACTTTGGTTAAAATTTTCGGCAACGTTTGACCACAAGTCCTTGATATTTTTGTAGCTGTTTTTACTGACAATAGTTGATTGAAATTCTGAAACTATATTTCGAAAAACTATAGTGGAATTTGTAGACGACTGCGACTGTGACGAAAACGATAGAGGTCTTATGAATGGAGACACCACTTGTAAAAAAATAACCCTCTGCATCCAATCCTTATCTAGTGTGTATTTTTTCCCCTTCTTGTAGCTCCACTCAACTATAAAATTCATGTATTGATTAAACGACGCTTCTTCTGTACCAAACAAAGTTCGAAACAATAAAGTCGCATCCAAATTAAGTTTATGAACGTTTGCTTGGTTCGAATACACAACAAAACTTCCAAGAAATTCGTCTTGATCACAAGAAACAAACTCATGACAAACACCATTGGGTGAAGTCCCCAATAAATCATTTTGCGTCGTAGACGAAACAACAACCTCTGAAGTTTTCCCCTTGGTGGTCAACTGGATCTTGTCATCCAAAAACGTTTTACAATTCGTGAACAAAATCAGTTTATCACACGAACTTAGACACTTCTTGTTGTCGTGGAAATCGTCGTGGTACTTCGGAATGCTGAAATTTCCTTTCGGTGAAACCAAATCTCTGCTTTTGACAATTTGGTTTTCGCTGTGTTTCAGCTGGACGGCGTAAAGTTGGGTTTGGGTTTCGTGTTGAAGTTTGATCTCGACGACGACGTCGTCGAAGGCACCGAATCTCGAGTCGTTTGATGACAATAGGAAGTTTTCGACTTTGTCGTCGTTTAGAAGTTTCAAGATCAAAATTGCTATGTAGGTGTGTTCGTAGTCCTTTCCTCGATCTGTGGTGCCGATTCTCTTCTGGAATTCCTGGAAGTTGAAGGAGTGGTGGGTGTGTTGAAATAATATATATTTACTTACAGATGCAAGCTTAAAGACATTGCTGGTGCTTTGGATGCTAACCTAAAAAAAAATTGTTAATTACCGTCAAATACTGAAGACAATTTTTTCCTAATCTAGACGTCTTATTCATTTTCTAGGAGTTGTGAAATTAATGACTCATCAAATGGAACCCATCATTGCTACAATACTTCCCTAGTTTGGCTTATATTCCGAAAATAAACAGCAAAACTGACTCCACCCATCCCACCTGTCTGCGTTTCATTGGCTTATTTTATTTTCGTTGATTGAATCGAGTACATAATATAAAAATTTTCAATCAGCCCCTCCCACCCATTCTTTTTTATTAGTTCGCTAATAAACCCCCCTTTTTACATGTTTTATTTTATTTACTGTGACTTTAAAATCCAATTCTAAATGGGTAAGTTCTAAACAAAACATCCATGATGAGATTGGCCTTTAATTACCAGCCAATAAACGCAGTTGTTACGACGAATAAGATGTGGTGGGCGGGTCTAACTGGTCTAACCGCGTTTTCTTACGTTTTATGGTTGCTATTGTAATATCCGCCTTTCATTTTAAAGCCAATACAGTTAGAGGTGCAATAGAAAACAGTGAAATCGAAACAGAAAACGTAAAGTTGGACCTAGCCACGCCCTTCCTTGTTTAGATGATTGATTTTAATTGCTCTGAAATGAAAAAGGGGTGTGTATTGGCAACAGTACCTAGATTTTGAAATGTAAAAATTTCAAATTAAATAATTATTAAAAAATTTTAAATCGGGAAATCGGAACATCAAAAGAAACGCTAAATCCAACAATGGAAATATCGAGAATGCAGAAATAAAAAATCGAAAAGCCAAAGAATCTAAAAAACTAGAAATCGGAAAATCGAAAAATCAAAAATTAAAAAAATTGCAAAATCCAAACATTCAGGAATCGAAAAGTGAAAAATCGAGAAATTGAAAACTCTCAAAACTAGAATCTAAAATCTATGTACAAAAATTGAACATCGAAAACTTGGAAAATCGAGAACTCGAAAGACCAAAAAATCGAGATATCGAAATTAAAAAAGATCTAGAAATCGAGAGTCGGGAAGTTATAAAATAAATCGAAAAATTGGAAAATCGAAACATCGAAATCTCGATAAATCGAGAAATTTCTAAATTGCAAAATCGAAAAACCGAAAAGTTCATAAATTTCAAAAATCGAAAAACCGAGATGTCGAGAAATCGAAAATTTGAAAAATTGAAATACATATTAAAAAATTTTAAACCGGGATATCGAAACATAAAAAGAATCGCTAAATCGAATGATGGAAATATCGAGAGTGCAGAAATAAAAATTCGAAAAGCTAAATAATCTAAAAAATTAGAAATCGGAAAACCGAAAATCTAAAATTTAAAAAATTGAAATATCGACACATTGAGAAATCGAAAACTGAAAAATCGAGAAATTGAAAAATCCCAAAACTGAAATCGAAAATGTATGTTCAAAAATTGAAAATCGAAAATTTGGAAAATCGAGAACTCGAAAGACCAAGAAATCGCAATATCGAAATTAAAAAACATCTTGAAATCGAGAGTCGGGAAGTTATAAAATAAATCGAAAAATTGGAAAATGCAAACAACGAAATCTCGATAAATCGAGAAATTTTTAAATTGCAAAATCGAAAAACCGAAAAATTGATAAATTTCAAAAATCGAAAAACCGAGATGTCGAGAAATCGAAAATGTGAAAAATTGAAGTACATGGGTATTAAAAAATTTTAAATCGGGATATCGAAACAAAAAGAATCGCTAAATCGAATAATGGAAATATCGAGGATGCAGAAACAAAAATTCGAAAAGCTAAAGAATCTAAAAAATTAGAAATCGGAAAATCGAAAAATCTAAAATTTAAAAAATAAAAAAATCGAAACATTGAAGAATCGAAAAGTGAAAAATCGAGAAATTGAATCAAAAATTGAACATCGAAAATTTGGAAAATCGGGAACTCGAAAGACCAAGAAATCGAGATATCGAAATTGAAAAAGATCTAGAAATCGAGAGTCGAGAAGTTATAGAATAAATTGAAAAATTGGAAAACCGAAACATCGAAATCTCGATAAATCGAGAAATTGTTAAACTAAAAAATCGAAAAACTGAAAAACTTATAAATTTCCAAAATCGAAAAATCGATGTCGAGAAATTGAAAATTAGAAAAATTGAAATATTGAAATTCGTATTAAAAAATTTTATATAGAGATATCGGAGCATCAACAGAATCGCTAAATCGGATCATGGAAATATCGAGACTGCAGAAATAAAAATTCAAGAAACTAAAGAATCAAAAAAATTAGAAATCCGAAAATTGAAAAATCTAAAATTTCAAAATTGGAAAATCGAAACATAGCGGAATCGAAAGGTGAAAATTCGAGAAATTTTAAAATCCCAAAACTGAAATCTAAAATCTATATTCAAAAATTGAATATCGAAAATTTGGAAAATCGGGACCTTCAAAGATCAAGAAATCGAGAAGTTATAAGAGAAATCAAAAAATTGAAAAATTGAAACATTTCAAAAATCGGAAAACGGAGATATCGAGGAATCGAAAATTAGAAAAATTGAAATACATATTAAAAATTTTTAAATTAGAATATCGAAACATCAAAAAATCGTGAATTCGAAAAATGGAAAAATTGAAAATGTAAAATTAAAAAATCGAAAAAATAAAAAAACAACTAGAAATTTTAAAATCTAACAATTTGGAATTAAAAAACCGAAAAATTGAAGAATCAAAAAACTGAAAAATCGAGAATTTGAAAATTTCCAAAACTGAAATGTCTAAAAATTGAAAGTCGAAAATTAGTAAAATCGAAAAACTGAGAAATCGAGGAACTGAAATTGAAAAAGACCGAGAAATTGAGGATCGAGAATGAACAATAACAAAAATCGAAAAACCGAGAAATCGAAATAATCTGAAATTAAAAAAATCGAAAAATTAAAATACATATTGAGAAATTAAGAAATTATAGGTAGCAACAACAAATTGAAAAATTACATAATTGAAAAATTGAAAAATCGAAAAAGTAAAAATAAAAAAAAAACGGAAAGTCGGAAAATGAAAAATATAAAAACGGGAAATTGAAAATAGAAAAATCCAAAAACTGAAGAATCGACAAATTGATCAATCCGCAAATTAAAATTTCGAAAAATTGAAAATAGAGAAATCGAAAAATCGAAGAGTTAAAAATTCGAAAAATTGTTATTCAATTTTGTTTTTTTTTCCAAAAATTTTAATGTCGATAAACCACAAGTTCATAAACATTCACTATTGTAAAATTTTAAGATGACGTCATGCCATTGTTGGTGAGGATGATTAGAAAAATTTCGGTTACCGATTAACCATCTGTGTAATATTTCTAACATACATGCAAAAACTTGACAACAATCGGTCCAGTAGTTACGGAGATTAGGATGTGTAATACAAATCGACTTAGACAAACACACAGAGAGAGAGACGAACGAAAATGGAAGACCTATTTTCTCGTACCCTAGGAGTAATGAAAGGGAGAGAAATTATGAAAGTAGCTTATAGTCGGGAAGTACCTAAAAATTGAATTGACTTTCAAATCGAATTTCTTGTGAATTTTTTAAGCAAATCTTCCAAAAGCTCAATTTCTCTATACCCCAACGGTATGAAAATTTCGACATTTTTTTGACTACATTTGTTTTTGTTTTTGAAAAGTTGCCTAAAAATCCTCAAAAAATTAAAAAACAAAATGTTAATAAAAAGATTTTCCAAAAACGTAAAATTTCAAGTTCCTTTTATTATTTCGTAACACAAAAAAAAAATGTTTTTTTTACAAATATATTCTCATAAAAATTAAAAAATTGTTTACCACAAATGTTTAAAATAAAGCGTTCTTTCTGGTGCAAAGTGTTTTCGTAACTTAAATCGTCACATTGAAAAATTTTATGAACATTTCTAAATATTCCATATTTATGTCCATATTCCATAAGTGGATATCCGAATTTTTTTTTGTGGATTTTTTGACAATTTTTTCAAAAGCTCAGATTTTCTATTATTGTTTTCAGTTATTTTCTCAGAATCGACTAATAAAATAAGGCAATTTTCAAAAAAATTACTTTCGAATCAAATATACCTATAGGTACTTCTGAAATCTTTCTCCTGGACCATAAACACGCTATATTTTTGGAATCAGTGTGTCGAGATTCGTTTGCCAGAATCTGTTGTGGATTTTTAGACAAAATTTGAAATCAAGTTAATATAACATAATTTTAGGTGTATCCAGGAAAGGACTAATTAACCAACAATATTGCCCACAAAGCAAGAGTACCTACATACATACCAGTACTACAAAAATCTAAATCTGACACTATCTCTCAAGTGCAGTGTGTAATATATACTCGTATATATGTAACCAAATATACACTGAAAACTGAGATTGTAAACATAAATATTTAGAAGTACTGCGAGATCGGAGTAACCTCTATTATTATTAAAAGAAATATCAAAAGTGTGGTTTTCCTAGAGCACTGACCGATAACGACGTTTGATTATGATAAGCCTCGGAGTAGTTACTTCCTCATTTCAAAAAATATATAAGCTCTTCACGAAGTCAAGAGTTAAGTAAGTTGAGCACAAGAATAAAAAATAAACTTACTGAAGCCATCTGACCACACCGAACATCCCTTGAGTTATTTTTTCGCAACAACACGAACAATTTTGATGCTTCTACGAGTGCTCAAACGAGAGATAATCGTCGCAATAAATTACATGTCGTCATTATTATCGGCCGGGAAAACCAAACCCAAGTTTATTATTTCTATTCGTAACAGCTGATCCTAGCCAGTGTTGCCAATCTGCGGAAATAAATGTAACTATATTCAGTTGGTAATTTTTGCACTATTCAGTCTTTCTCTCTCGCACGTTTGGCCACTGGATTGGAATGAATCAGACGTCGTGTATAAATATACTCGAGATGGAGACACGATTGATGGTAAGCAGTGGCGTATCTGACGGGAAATTTAATTGGAGATATTTAATTAGCAATTTTTTTTTATAATATTTACCATATAGAAATATCATAATTAATTATTATAATACTAGACAGCGGATAGCCGTCGGGTTAGGCAAGTTCAAACTCAAAAGGATTCATATTCTTACCAAAAAAAGACAATTGTATTAAATAAATACAAGTTTTAATAAAAAAAACAGTAAAGTAGGACGATAAACAAAACATCAGTGGCAAAAAATAGTGCAATTTGAAGAACAGAAATGTGTGACAAGCTAAATATTTCAAATATTAACAATTTCTGTTTAATTTTTTTATTAATAATTTCCCAACACGGCCACTAAGGAATAAGCTCGTTTAAGAACCTAAAAATTTGGACGTCAACTAATTACAAAATTGTGGAAATGTACATCGTACTGTTGTAAATGTATCAAGTGATAAGTCGAATAGTTTCCCAGCTGTGACAACCATCGGTCTCTTGGATCTTTCCATTAAAATGTTAAGGGTCTTCTTTGTCTGAATGTTGTATTCGTACCACCTGCTCATGTAAACAGCCGTCGGCAAGGTTTTGCTCTGCAAAAAATATGTAGTTAAATTGTAAACAGTGATCACCATTTTTAACAACTACCTCTTCAATAAGCAGCGTTCCATAGTAACAATAAAAAAATATTTGGAAAAATAAAAGACTTAAGTAGTTCATCGCGATTAGAAAGTAGATGTCAAGTTCCAGCGTCTATGCAAGTAAATAATTCCGTTATGCTAAAAACAAAATTAACAAAAATTTACTGACTTTACTGATTTGGAAGCAGAGTAGTCCGATAGTGAGTGTGCTTTCCGAAAGCTGACTGAAAACCACCACTGAGAAGCATTCTTGGTATTCATAGACGAAGCTTTTCATGAAATAATCTCTGTTAAATACACTTTTTCCTATAAATGAGACGGATATACTTTACTTTATTATGGTTTGGTGGTGACGAATGCAGTTTTTAATTGCTAAATCTATATTTTTGGATTTAGTGTTTTCGTCAATATTTTCCAAATTTAAGAAGTCTTGTTTGCTGTGTCGCCCTAAGTTCTCTAAATTATCTTTCAGGACTTGGAGCTGAGCGGTAGCTTGATGGGCTAGGCCCCCTATTAGTGGATCAATCGTACCACACGCAAATGAAGCATAAACAAGTCCTAAAATTTAAATTTAACAAAAAATCTCGAGTATTAATTGAAAACGATAAAACAGTACAAAATTAACCAATATTTTTTATAACGGAAGTGCAATTTTTTATCACTGCCATGAATTTCTGAAGCAACTTACCCAAAATAAGAATAACATAAACATGGTAATAAAGCACCCGACTCTTCATTACAAAATCTGGCAACCACACATTGACAAGCAGTTGCGTCTTCTCTAGTCAACAACTGCCCCATAAAACCAACTATTCCTCCAATACAGCCCACAAAGAACACTTTGGAGTTTCTTTGACACACTCTAACAAACTTCTGAATTATTTTCTTGTGTTGATCGTGCACAACTGAACTTTTGAAATCGTCGAAGTAGTGAATGCATCTCTTAAATTTTTCACCATTTCTCAGGAAAGGTAAAAATTTGAAAGTGTAGAACATCATACCGACCATCATAAAATCGTTGTAGTCGAAACTGGTAAGTTCTTGAGCGAATACGAAGCGAAGTAGACCCAAAATTGTTGGAGGTAACATAAATATTAAATAAAGAGTGACCGCATAAGCTTTGTGGAGGTGCTGATAGGTGTCGGATGGATAAAGACCAATTAATTTCATCACACTGATATTAAGACTGAAGCTGTATCCTGCGTTTTCCATTTGGAATCACAAGTAATTCTCTTTATAATTTTAATTTAGTTATGGTTGTTTACTATACATCAAGGTACCTGGAGCAAAGAAAAGCTGATTAAAATCGAACTAGGTACAATTTTTTTTTGAAAAATGTTTCAATAATCATAATAAAAATTAGAAGTTTTGTATAGTATTATGTTGCATAATTTTGTATACGTCCTTAAAAAAAATATATACAGGGTGGGTCACTAAGTCCTCGATATCTCATTAATCATTACTATACTATACAGAGTGTTCTGCTTTTAAGTCGTAACACAACATAGTTTTTCTCTTTGAAACACCATATGCATCTTTATATATTTTCATTGACCCCTTCTTAGGCTTTGCAATCACAGTTTATTTTTGAAACTGTCATGCGACGTTGCCAAGTTATTCCAGTTTTCTTGAAATTTTTGGAGGTTCACAAAAAACACAATACGGTTATTTTTAAAATTTGTGTCAAAATATTTTTTGGAGAGATAAATAAATAATCTATTTTTGCTATCGGGTGATTACTATTTAACTAATTTTACCTGAAATCAGAGACGTAGAATAATGAGATTTATACCATTCGATTCCTTTGTATATTTTTAGTTCATATTCCAAAATCGTTTCATTACCATTTTTTTGGAAAAATTTGAGCAATGTAAACTCATTCACAATATACCAACATGTATTTGTAAACACTCTGATATTGTAAGACAAACTTTAAAAATATTTGCTAAACAATTTCAAGAAAATTGGAATAACGTGGCAACATTGCATCGGATTTTCAAAAATAAACCGTAACTGTAAAGCCTAAGAAGAGGTCAGTTAAAATAAGTAAAGTAAGGTTTTTCATTTAAAAATACAAGTTGTGCGTTACGCTTTCAAAATTGAACACTCTGTAAAGATACAAATTTAAAAGTAAGTCCTTTTTCGTCCTTCGTCCTTTTTCGCACTTTTTCGCCGTTCGTCCTTCTTCGTCCTTTTTCGATTTTTTCGACCTCCGTCCTTCTTCGTCCTTGTTGGTCCTTCTTTGTCCTTTTTCGTTCTTTTTCGTCCTTGGTCTTTTTTCGTCCTTCGTCCTTTTCGTCCTTTTTCGTCCTTTTTCGTCCTTTTTCGCCCACTAAATACATTTTCTTGTAGATTTCGACCTGCAGAAGTCATATCCGCTTTTATTTCTTCGATAATTCTAATGGTTCCTCCAGAATCGTTCTTTGAATAAATAAAAATGTACAAAATACCCCAATTTTCGACCAATTTTCAACAAAATTTTCAAAATTTCACTAAATACATTTTCTTGTAGATTTCGATCTGTAGAAGTTATATCCACTTTCATTTCTTCGATAACTCCAATGGTTTTTCCACAATCGTACTTTGAAATATATAAAAATATGCAAAATTTTCGACTAATATTCGGCCAATCGTCTTTTTCCCTCCTTTTTCGTCCTTTTTCGTCCTTTCTTGTCCTCTCCGTTCTTTCTCGTCCTTCTTCGTTCTTTTCCGTCTTTTTTCGTCCTCTTTCGGCCTTTATCGTCCTTTTTCGTCCATTTGCGTTCCTTTCGTCCTTTTTGGTCCTTCTCAAGAGACCGTAGAACTTAGGCCTTCCGCTTTTTTCCATTTTTAATTATTATTAATGAGATGTCGAGGAACGCGCTCTTAGTAAATCACCCGGTATATCAATAACGTTGGACATTAGAAGAAGAAAAAATTTAAAAATTTCACAAAACGACCAAAAAACATAAAGGGTGGAAGCTAATAGTAAATAAAAAAAATGGAGAATTTATACAATCTGTGGCAAAGGAATGAGAAACATGAAGTAATAAATTCAAAAAACAACTGAAGAGCCAATGAAAAATTTTTCCTGATAGGAGGGGATTTTAACGCTAGAAAAGCCAACAAAAGTCCGGAATGTGACGGAGAATACATACAAAAATCGAAAGAAGTAGGGAAGGCTTGAAGAGGAAGTAAAGAAATAGACAAAAAGAAGAAGATTTGGGTATGGAGTGAAAAATAAATTCAGCATTATAAAAAAATGGAAGGCGAATTCGGAGGAAAAAGAAAAATTATATATAAAATGAAACCTTGCATTTTAAAAAATGGCAGAACTGAATTTTTAATTTTTACAGTCTCAATTCCACACTACAGAAGAAAAAATAATTTGCCCCGCCCACACACCCCGTCTCCATTTCAGTAATTATTTCATCTGCTCTGAATGAAAGGTGGAACGTATACTAAAAAAGGAATAAAATTTGTCGTTAGAATGGGAAGAGGGTGGGTGGGCGGGGTCACTACCTTCTATCATATGACTGATTTTTGCAGACCTTTTATTGGCAAATGACATACTCTTTAAAAACTAGAGGTGTAGCACTTGAGGCAAGCTGACTAAAAAATTATATATAAAACGAAATCTTCCGTTTTAAAAAATGGCAGAACTGAATTTTTAATTTTTACAGTCTCAATTCCACTCTACAGAAAAAAAAACAATTACCCCGCCCACCCTCCCCTTCTCCATTTCATTAATTATTTCATCTGCTCTGAATGAAAGGTGGAACGTATACTAAACAGGAATAAAATTTGTCGTTAGAATGACAAGAGGGTGGGTGGGCGGGGTCACTATTTGGTAAGATAGGACAGATTTTGGCAGACCTTTTATTGGCAAATGACATACTCTTTAAAAACTAGAGGTGTAGCACTTGAGGCAAGCTGACTAAAAAATTATATATAAAATTAAATCTTCCATATTAAAAAATGGCAGAACTGAATTTTTAATTTTTACAGTCTAGGTACTATTATTTCTCAATTCCACTCTACAGAAGGAGGTGTTCCATTTGAGACAAGCTGACAAAAAAATTAAATACAAAGTGAAATCTTCCATATTAAAAAATGGCTCAACTGAATTTTTAATTTTTACAGTCTAGGTACTATTATTTCTCAATCCCACTCTACAGAAGAAAAAATAATTTACCCCGCC